GCGCCGTGCGCTTCCCCTCGTGGAAATTCCCCGACAAGGTGTCCTGCGAGCTGGACATCGCCGTGCTGCTGCAGCGCTACCGGCACAGCGACAGCGAGCCCGAGTTCAGCCAGCACGCACACGTGGTGCTGCTGGAGCTGCTCATTGACAGGTGAGAAGGGCAGCTGTGTCTGACCTGCTGAGTTATTGGTACAGGGCTTGCAAGGCTTGCAGGATGAAGAGAGAGATGAGAATGTTGACCTCGTGTTCAGAAGGCTTGATTTATTATTTTATGATATATGTTACATGAAGACTATACTAAAATGAATAGACAGAAAAGTTCTCAGAATGATAGCAAGCTAAGAATAGAAAAGGAATCAATAACAAAGTTCTGTGTCCAGGCAGAAAGCAAGAACAGCCCTGCCGTCAGCGGTCAGTAAGTCCAAACATTCACAGAAGACCAATCACAGAAGCACCTGTTGCATTCCACAGCAGCAGATAACCATTGCTTACATTTGTTGCTCAGGCCACAGCTTCTCAGAAAGGGGAAAAATCCTAAAGAAAGGATTTTTCACAAAAGATATCTGTGACAAGTTATCCCAGTCCTGGGGGAGCTTTTGGGCACCTCAGCACAGAGAGGACTCAAAGGTGTTAATTAGAGAGCACCCAAATGAGGGCTGAGGGTGAGAGCACCTGGTGTGTTCAGCTGGAACAGAGAACACTGAGGTCAGAGCTCAGTGGGGCTGCAGCTCCTCCAGGGTACAGCTCTGATCTCTGTGACCAGAAATGGGATTCAAAGAAAGGCTGGAGCTGTGCCAGGGAGATTAGGCTGGATATCAGGAAAAGGTTCTTCCCCCAGAGGGTGCTCAAGCACTGAACAGGTTCCCCAGGGAATAATCACAGAATCAGCTGCGTTGGAAAAGACCTTGGAGATCATCAAGTGCAATCTGTGACATAACAGCACCTTATCAATTAACCCATGGCACCACATGCCACATCATAGCCCCGAGGCTGCCAGAGCTCCAGGAGCCTTTGGCCAATGCCCTCAGGCACAGGGTTTGATTGTTGGGGTGTCTGTGCAGGGCCAGGAGTTGGACTGGATGATCCCTGGGTCCCTTCCAACTCGGATATCCCCTGGTTTTATGAAATCTTTTGGATGCTTTGTTCCCCGTGTATTTCCATGATGAGCAGTACCAGCACCACAGCCTCATGCCCTGCTGAGCTTTAAAACCCAACTCCCTTCCCTGCTTAGGGCTCCCAGCACAAACTGGCCACAAAGAAGCAGAGCCAGAGGTGGAGCAGATGGGACAGGCTGGTTAAACTGCCTCCCAAAACCTTGGAATCACTCGGACACAGCTGCATCAGCAGCCCTGGGAGGACAAAGCCCCTTTGCAGCCTGAAATAAATACAGCTCTGGTTTAAAAGATGAGCCATTTCCACTGAGCTGTTGGCCCTAAAATCAGGATNTTCCCTTCCCTTCCCTTCCCTCTCCCTCTCCCTCTCCCTCTCCCTCTCCCTCTCCCTGCTCCTGCTTCCCATGGATCGGAGAAGTCTGGCTGGGCACAGTCATGCCCTGCTCTCCCACTGGCAGAATGAGGAAGAGGAGGACAGACAAACATACCAGGTTCTCCAGCAGCACTGCCTGGTACGTGATCTTTGCCGTGACCCGGAGCCCACTGTGAGCAAAGAGCAAAGTGTCAATTCCATGGACACAGCAGGATTTGGGCACAGCTCCCCCGTGCCAGGGAGCACCCCCTCCCCACAGGGATGGGCAGTGACCGAGGGGGACCAGAGGAACATGCAGGGGAGGTGACAGCAAGACCCTCCCTCGCCAGCTGTGCCCATTGACCCTGCACAGGGCTCTTCCCCCCAGCCACGTGTGACACCATGGCAGCAATCCCAATGTCCCACATGTCAGGAGGACAGACAGGGTCTCACTGCTGCTGGTGGTGAGAACAAACACCCACAGAGGTTGTGGGGATGGCGATGCCAACAGGAACCAACAGATCTGGATAATTTCTACTGAGAGTCCTAAAGCTCTTGGCTGAGGCCACCTGCCAGCCACTATATGGGGAGCCCATGAAAGGGCTCCCCAGCCCAGGGGAATGGCTGGATCTGACCCAGATCTCCCCCAGAAACACATCTAAGCCCCAGCTGGCCTTGGCATGGCTCAAAACCCCCCCAGCAAACATGATGGGCTGAGTGAGAGACCCCAGGGTGGGGGGCAGCCTGCTGGGGGACAAAGCAAGGACAAGGCAGTGACAAGGCAGGGAGCAGGCAGGGGACAGCCCAGGCCGTACCGCAGCAGCGCTCCCAGCAGCCTGGTGACATTGTCCGAGGACTGGATGACGATGACGGGCTTGGCCAGCAGCTGGGACACGTCCAGCTGCAGCGGGAGGGAAGGCAGCGGTCAGCGGTCAGCAGAGCCCGCCCGGCCCCGCCCTGGCACTGCCCTACCTCACGGATGGCGTTCTGGTTCAGCGCCAGGATCAGCAGGGCAGAGGCCCCCAGCACCAGGGCTCGCTTCATCTGCAGGGACAGCAGGGACACGATCAGGGGACAGAAGGGCTGTGTCCCCAACAAGCTCCTGTCCTGCTGCAGGAGGCACCCAGCACATCTCTGCCATGGTGAAGGGTCACAAGGGACCCCAGAGGGGTCAGAAGCTGTCACCAAGCACAGACCAGGACCCCCCAGATCTGGCCAGGAGACAGCCCAGGTGACACCCCTGTGGGTTTGTGACCTGCAAACACCACGGCAGCCCTCAGGGGACAGGGTCACACAGAGGATCACCTTGGTGACAACGGCAGTGGTGAAGGACTCCTCCTTGGCACCCCGGGGGCCCTCGGCCGGCTCCTCGGTGCCCACG